CAAGTGAGCCGCATTAGCTCCTGGAGATGTAACGTCAACGCCTTAGGTGCAAAGAGCCCATCAGATTACCATACGCTGTCAGAATAGCATACATGCAGTGAGTACCATGCCTGCACATTAAGAAGTCCGACAGTCAGAGGAGTTGTCAGTTCACCATACACAACAAGTTATGACTAAAATAAGTCATTAAATTGTTTTCCATGATAACTTTATAGATATACATGCGTTGTCGTTTTTTCAAATTGTATTTAAAGCAGGGTCTGGCTGCAGCTGGAGTCAGCTACAACACACGCCCGTGTAAAACGATCTACGTCATGATTCTATGTTGCTAATTAAATAAAATTATATAGTAAAGACGTGTCTGACAGATATAGCCGTGGGTTTGTGCTAAGCGTATGACGATCTGACAGCATATGCTGACCTGACAGAACACTCTTCTTTGTTCTTGTAATCCTCTGCGTACACTGCAGTAGCTATCATTATTTTATTTAATTATGTACATTGATATTTTTTAATTAACAAATAAATAAAACAATATCGAAAGAGCACACAGAGCATGCACATTGCTCTTTGATTGTTTTCGGTCAAAGTGACAGCTGTAATGGTAGTCTGCCATGGTGTCAGACTACCTGGCTTCATGTAGCGGGAGAGAGGGTGAGAACAGTCACGGTGAGCGTCTTGTGCTTGGTTACTTCTTGCTTGTTGCTCCTTGGTCAGTGTTCATAGTTGAGCGTTATTTACCGTCAGATGGTAATGGTGCAGACAGTGGTGGTTTCTGACATGAGCAACATGGACAAACACCCAGGGCGTTGTCTCTTTAAGGATGGCATGAGACCACCGTAGCACAGAGATGGAAGCAAAATTAATATTGATTAATTTTATTAAGTATTTAATATATAGGTGTTTTTATGTGAATATGAATCTTTCAGATCAATTTGAGAAGTAATTTTGATCATATTTCACATTTTATTGTGTCATGTAGCACGGCCTGCTGGTCTTGGTCTTGACTCGGTCGTTTTAGAGCATCTCAATTGGCTTCAGTCTTTTTAAATGTTAATGAGACGTTTTACGCCGCGCCATGCTCCAGGTGGCACAGCGTTCCACTTCACCCTGTTTGGACATTTTGTAGTTTGATAGAAGCGACAAAATTATCTACCGACAGAGAAACTTTTTGATCCAAAGTTTATTAAAAATGTCAGAACCATCCAGTATCTCACATGTTGGAGGCAAAGCAGGAGAAAGAAGAACCTGCATTCAAATGAACCACAGTGGAGTCATTACTGCATTTACAGCCTCACCATCCATACCAACTACAGCACAATATGAAG